GAGATACAAGACATAATCACAATTTCCTCAAAAAATTAAACTTAGAGTTGGTATATAACCCAGTAATTCCACGTCTAGGATATACCTAAGAGAACTGAAAAATTCTGTTCACACAAAAAGCAAGTATGTGCGTGTTCATAACAGCACTGCTCTTAACAATCAAAAGTTGTAAACAAGTTAAATGCCCATCACTTGATAAATGGATAAACAGAAAGTGATACAGTATCTACAGAATGGAATATTATTCTGCAGTGAAAAGGAGTGAAGTACTGACACATGCTACAACTTGGATGAACCTATAAGACATTATGCTAAATGAAAGAAACAAGTCACAAAAGGCCACATGTTATATTATTCCATTTATAATGAAATGTCCAAAATAGGCACATTTCATAGAGAATAAAAGTAGACTAGTGGTTGCAATGGGCTGGAGGATGAAATGAGTACTGATTACAAATAGGTTCTGGGTTTCTTTTGGGGGTGATTAAACATTCTGAATTAGATAGTGGTGAGAGTTGCACCACATGGTATATGTACGAAAAACACTGAATTGTACACTTTAAAATGACTAAAATCGTGAAACATTATTTGAATTCTATTTCACTAAAATCATATATCATCATCAGGCTGGCCGGGTGGTGCAGCTGGTTAACATCGCGAGCTCTGAGCAACAGGGCTGCTGGTTCTATTCCCACATGGGCCAGTGAGCTGCGCCTGAGCTGAGCTGTCCCTTAGCTGCCAACAGCCAGCTGGATGGCTCAGCTGGTGAGAGCGCGTGCTCCTACCAACAAGGTTGCCAGTTAGACTCCCACATGGGATGGTGGGCTGCGTGCCCCCTGCAACTAGATTGAAAGTGGCAACTGGACTTGGAGCTGAGCTTGCGCCTTCCACAATTGAGATTGAAGGAGAACAATTTGACTTGGAGCTGATGGGTTTTGGAAAAACACAATATTCCCCTTCCCCAGTTCCCCAACACTGTTTCCTTCCCCAATTCCCCAATTAAATCTTTTTAAAAAATTATATATCATCACAAAATATGTATCATATATATGCTATGTAGTTTACATACTATATTGACATTCACAAGTACTTAACACCAGTACTATTCAAAGAGTCACAATAGTGTAACTAGTCATGGGTACAATGCACATGATGCCTAGATTACTAAATCAAATACTAAAAACTGAAGTGCTGAAATCAAGAATTATTCATTCTACTATTCAATTACTTGGTGACAGAAACTGTGTTAGGTGCTATGGACACAGGGACAAACAAGATATGATCTTCACCTGCATAGGGTTCCTGGTTTAGCAGAGGAGCTTGACACTAAACAAATATTCACTCAAACATAAAACTTGTAACCAGGGGCATGAGGCAAAATACTGGGTTCTGTGGTTGAATATAACAGGCAGATGCGTTTTAGATGAGGAATTGGGTAAGAGCCTCTCTGAGGACAATATATTTAATCCGCAAGATGAGAGATTTAGCCAGGAAAGAGTGAGGATAAGAGTATCCCCAGGATGAAAGGGCAGTACAGAAGTCCTGAAGCCGGCAAGCACCTGTCACATTTGAGAAACCCATGCGGCCAGTGATGATCAGTGGGTAGTGAATAATGAGAAGGCTCACAGAAAGAGGCTGGGGAAGTAAACAGGAGTCCATCCAGCCCACGCAGGGCCTTACAGCCACTCTGGGGATTCTCACTTCATATTCTGGGTACAAAGTGAAGCCACCCAAGAATTCAAGCAGGAAAGAAACATGACCAATTTGGGTCATAAAAGCATGATGAAGGCGCCCTCTGTGGAAAAAGAATTAGAGAAAAACAAAGAAGAAGGAAACTAGGAGACCAGTTAGGAGGCTATTAGAGTAGTGGTTCAGAGGAGGGAACAGGGGTGGAAAGGAAGAAAAGACATTTTCAAGGTCGGTTTTGGAGTTTTGAAGGTTATCACATATTCTATTTTACAACTCAGATTTACACATGTGGGGGAAAAAAAAAAGTCTTCCAGTAAGACCAAAGCACAAAAAGTAAAGATTACTTAGCCAGGATCCTCAGACACATTAGCATCAATCCAGGACCAAGCCAAATCCTACAAATGGGTCAGGCTACTTTTAGGAACACTGGAGCCTTTTTATACAATTAAGTAGTACTTGAACCCAAATTATCCCTATTCTTCCTGCAGGGTATTTGCTTACAGGCAAATTTTCAGAGTGGGAAAGAGAGCCAGTGAAGTAGAAACCCAAAAGTTCACTGTGATGCGTCCAGGTAGTGCTTGCTGTCCTCACTTCAACCCAACTGCACACTAGCTCGTCTTTGGAACTTTTTTTTTCTGTAGAGAAAGCCATCTGGCAGAAGAATACCCTGCTTAGTATATGCTCTGTTAGAGGCTTCAGTTAAACACACACATGAAGAAATATGTGCAAAGCATTCTAGATTATTCATGTGCATCTTGCCCCTTAAAACTGCACTCCCGAGACTGAAGCTGAACACAGAGGCCGTGACAGATACCACACACTTTACAAAGAGTGAATGAATGACTTGCACTGTAGTAGTAGAGCAACTGCACATTATACATGTGTGCATTTCATTTCCTCTTTAAATAAAACCTTCTTACCCACATGGTAAATGGAACTTCAAACCCACAGTGGGTACACGTTTGTGTATATTCCTAATAAGCCACCCAAGACATAAAATCAGGAAGTCTAAGGCAAGCTACCAGTTCGGCACCCCCAGGATATAATGCAAGCAAATAATAAAGATAAATATGACCATCAATAAAAAAAATTATATATGTTGCAATACATTGCTCTGTAAGTAGTCTTGTTCTCTTTTTTATGTTCTCTCATTTATGCTGTGAAAATCAGTTTAGCAGTTAAAAATGTAAAATGAAAAGAGATGTTGTTTCACCTTGAGGAATCATTTCATCCTTTCTATCTTTATCACTGTTGACGTTTTCAGCTTCTTTGAGGTTGTAATAGATTACAATACATCATATTTACACACTGCATGACAGCTGTCTCAAATGCTCCTGATCCTCCTTGATTCCTTGCATGTTAAGATTCAGCCCTTCTAAGAAGGGTTCCCTCACCCTTTATGGTAGCACTCATCTTCCATCCATTCCTGTGAACCCCCCACACACACACACACACACCACCTGCTATCCCTTGTATATATAATATCTCTATCCAGACTTACAACTGCTTCCTCTTCCAGGCTGGGAGCTCTCTGATGCTTCATGCTCCCAGGACCTAATACAGAGCCTGGCATGTAGAAAGGCTTCAAATGCTTGTGGAATTAAATGAATGAATAAATAAATTGGATCCACCTAACCTATGTAGTTTTTTTTTCCCCACTTGCATTACCCTAAAAGTTAATGACCTTCAAGTCAATGACACTTCAGACAATTCTCCATTTCCCCCCCCCCATTCCTTTCCATTTCCTTATAGAAGGGGATTTCTGATTTGAAGTACTACACTGTCTAGAGGTATTTATGAAAAACAGTTTTAAGAATAAATGATAATATTGCTTGCTGCTCAGGTTTACACACATGGCTTTGCACAGAGTGAGTCTGAATATGAACTAGAAAAGGCCTTCACTCTTCAAATTCATCTTCTATAGCAAAATGGCATCCTATCACTCTTGCTATTGACATTCACATCAGATAGCATTCTTACAAAGAGCCCCCTTCCTCATGACAAGGGAAGAATGCCCTTGGCAAGGGCAGAGAGAATCTATGAGTTCATTTCATCATTCTGGAATAAATTATTTAGCACCACTTAAACCCTGAAAGCTTTGAGCCACCTACCTTGTGGTTTCTGGCACTCTCTTCTACGTTTACAATTTCCCGATTGTGAAGCAACAATTTAATTTCATCGTGCAAAAGCAATACAATTTAAATTTACTGTTGGAGCTGACATGCTCTAGTAAATGAAAAGACTTATTGTTCCACTGACATAATTATAAAGCTGCTTTTACCAAAAAAGTACTTAGGAACCATTCCAGTATTTAAAAATGAATGCTTCTTACTGGACTTAATGCATCTCCTCCTGCCAGGAGATGAATGCGATCCCTGAGACTGTCTAAGTTCTGACCACTCAGACTCAGCTTTGACTTACCTCTGTCAAGGGCTTAGATTTTTAACATGAGATCATCCTGGAAACACAAGGACTGCGGTGGAAGTAACAAGAGATCACCAATGGGCTTTTAAAATATATTTCACTAGTTTAGAGTTTTTATTAGACAGGAATGTTGATCACCCTTTTTCACTCCCAATTATATCATTAATACAACTATGAGTAGGAAGGTTTGGGACAAGAGTCAACGTTCCCACTGTTATTTCACTGGGAATGAAGCTATAAGCTGCACCCTTCTCCCCAAAGAACGAAACTGGCTGGAAAAGGCAAGAAGACGGAACGACTGATAATATCATTAAACCTACAGCGAGTACTGATCATTTATTTGCCCTGTGTAAGGTCCACTGTGGCTGATAGCCTGATGATGGGAAATCGGAAGGGGGACTTGGGCTGGTCCTGAACCCTTAGATTCAACAAGCTTCCCGGGTGCATTCAATCCACCTGCACATAACTCCATTCCTTGCACCTGTCTTAGGAAGGCTTGTTTCTCTTTTAACTGCTCAGAGCAGCCAACAGAAAAATTACAAGTAAAAAAAAAAAAAAAAGGCAGCGGCAACCTAGTGCGGAACCAGAAGGGAACGTTGATCAGCAGCCCCACTGCTCAACAGACAATTGGGGTTTCCTCCCATCCGCCCCCATTTCCACTGCGCACCCCCAAGGACAAGAGGTTAGATGCAACAGAAGCCAAGGCTAGGCCTATGAGGCAGCAAGAGAAAGATGGTTCACAGCGAACCGGGAGATGCTCGGGCGCTGCCTCCTCCAGCCTCGCTCCCGGTGCTGACTCGGCCAGCGCCCAGCAGAGCAACCGGGCCTCCCAGAAGCTCAGCATCCCTCTTCCTGCTCCCTCCTCCTCCCGCGTCCGTGCCACCAACCTTGGGGGTGCGGATGTGCTCCATGATGGGACCAAGTCTGCAAGGTCTTGAGCTAACGCGGCCTCACGCACCTGAGCGCATCAACAGCGGGAGGGGGCTTCGCGCTCGGGGAGCGGGGAGCTACGGGGCTTGGCTCCGCCTCCAGGTGCGGCGGCGCCCGCGCATGGCGGGCATGGGGGCACCAGGCGCCCGCGCGGCCCTAGAGCGTGCGTCTCTGCGCTCCTGCCACCTGCCCTGCCCGCGGCCTCTCCGCCCCATCCCTGGCTGAAGTCTCCAGAGCGAGAGCCGCTCGCTTCCTTTCACGAGAGGCAGCCAACGTAATACTGTGGGGCTACTGTTCCCCAAGACACAATGGGGGCCTTGTGTTGGGTGTGGCCTTTTGGAGGAGAGGTGAGGAATACGCGCTGCTCCACAAGCCCATAGGCTTCCTGCCTGAGCGTCCCAAGACAGGTGCGACTTCAGGGCAGGGCAGGGCCTGAAGAAAAAAGGCTGCCATATGCACCCCAGATCCAGCATGTCCTAGAGGGCTCTGCATATTTCAGCATGTGAGCAGCAGGCATAGCATTTGGAATGAGGGTGGAAATAACAGCAACATTGTTAACGCCATGGGAGGTGCTCTATTAAGTCAACCCTCTCTCATCAACCTGCGGACAGCACTGTTGAACTGTTGGAAGAGAAGCTTTTCCTTAACACCGTGTTAGCTGCTCATTTGCTACCTTCACTTAGCTCTAACTGAAATGGAAGATAGAGAAACAAAGCACCCAATATCAGGTACCATTTTTCCATTTATGTTATTTAACAGTAGTTGTTGCCAATTGTCAGTATTATGCCATTGGGAAAAGCCAAAGAGAATGCATGATCCCCCCACACACACCGTTTTTCTTGCAACCCTAGTTGTACAACACGCCACCATAACTAAAATTTCATAAAACTGTACTATAGTTCTTAGAATAATACCTACTCAGTTTTTTACTAGCTCTTACTTGCCTCTCTTTCCGACTGGATTGTAAATTCTTTGACTGTAGCAACTGTTTTTTATCTCTTTTTGTCCAATGCCTGGTAGGCACATTGCAGCCTTCCAAATAAATGTTTATTTAATCAATACAGTGTTACAAATCTAAATTCTCAGATCTCCTTCACATATTTTCTGTCATTTCACCCTCTTCCTGCTCTGCAAGTCAGTTGGGGCAAGTCCTGTCAACTGACATTTGCATATGACAAAATGGACGAGGGCTATAATTTCTTCATTACTAAAGAACACCAGGAATAGAGAATCAGGAGCACTCTGGTCCCAGCTCAACACTGGCTTCAGTCTCCTCATTGATAATGAGGATGATCTCAAAGGTAACTTCTGTCCCCAAATTCCATCAGCACTAGGAATCTTATATCCATTTGGGGGGATATATTTTGAGTGGTTTAATGATCTTGGAATTATGTGCTTTCAGGACTCTTCTATCTCTGTACTGGTGGACTAATCATGCATTTACTTGGTGAGTAATTTTTGCATATAAATATTTCTGACCTGTTGCATATGAGCATATTTTTTTAAAGGACTCAAAATACTAACTGGGAGGTGAAAATATATAAATCCAAAAAATCGAAATAGCCTAATGATAAGAAAAAATTTCCAGATTAGTTTAAAAAAAATGCATCTTTCATTAATCATAGCTATAAAATCAACATTAGGTTACAATGAGTCAAGAATTATATTCCAATTATTAGGATCAATTAACATACAACAAACAAGAAATAAAATAACAATAGGGAAAGAAATCTCTATAAGTAAACATTTTAGTTTGAGGTAACAGTTTTCTGAGGAACCCTCCTTGACTTGTCCCCCAACCCCAGTCACTATCCAGGTTATTAGACCACAAACTGTGTTGACTTCAGACAGCCATTCTGCACTTTCTGGTACTTACACTGCCTCCGATCCCCAAGTTTCACTGCTTCTCTGAACCACCACCCAGAGAAGAGATTGAACAAAGCAGCAAGAGTTGGAAAGCAGTGAAGTGAGGGGACCTAGGGTACATTGAAATGGCTGACTATGTTGATCCTAACTAGGGCAAAAAGTGGAACTAGCCATTCATTTACTTAAGAAGCATTGATATTAATTGACTGATGCTCATGCTCAAGGTACAATAGCAGATGCTGGGAGATTGAAGGGAGACCCAGTGGAGAGTTCCATGATTGTGATAGGTATGACACTGAGAAAATGAAAAGTAAACTAAGATGGCAACAGGGCATATAGAAATGCCAAAAGAAACCTCAAGGAAATTGATCTACTTTCTCCTTTTTCCATATTATACAGAAAATAATGGATAGACTCAGGTTCATACACTTAGTTCTTGAAGTTTGAAATCTGGTGTGTCTGGAATGAACCATAGGACATTTGGATGGATGCTGCATCTCTGAGTCTTCCCAGAGCCGAAATCTCTCTATCTGACCTCAGAACCAAGAAGTGAGAAGGGAGAAAAAACTTATTCTTCTAATACTACATAATTTGCCAATGGATCTACACCCAGATTTTCTACCCAGTGGGTTAGAAAATGGCCATTTTTCTTTAGCATTTGTTAAACCTGGGTGGAAACTAAGTATATTTCAACAAAACTATTTTCACCATCAATGAAAATATCAGACAATAGGATTAGGACCTAGTTACCTGCATATTTATCAAATGACTTCCCATGCCAAGAACCATCATGGCTGTCCTCATTTTATCATTAGTGTAGCAGGTTTCATTGATTTTGACCTTTGTGAAAATGGTAGATATGACTGTACACATCAATATTTAATCCTTCTGTCTTTCTCGGGCACACAGAAGACTATACTTTTCAACCCTGTTACTCTTGGGTGGGGCCATGTGACCAGTTCTGGCCAATGGACTGTGAGAAGTGACATGTTACTTTTGGCCAAAGCTCTGCAAAACCTGTGTGTGGTCCGTCAGCTTTCCCTTTCCTGGTCTTGATATTTGGAGGACAACTATTGAGATTATAGAGAAAATAATGATGATAAATTCATCCAAAATATATGACATGACTGTGGCCCAAAACTATTTAGCATTAGATTGAAATGAATGAAGAGAGAAATAGACTATTTCCCTGAGTCATTCTTTGGAAGGGAGATACTCTGAAGAGTCATAGCAGATTCACTTGAGTGAAAAGAACACCTTTTTGGGGTGGTTGTTGCATGAAAGCCACTGAGAATTAAAGGTTAATTAAGTTTTGTACCTAGACTTGCCTATGCTGACCTTATACAGAAAGGAAATCTGAGAGAGTTAAAATAATATACTATCTCTGTTTCTGTGTTTCTGATCTTTTTGTTTTTAAGATTTTATTGGGGAATTGGGGGAGGGGAACAGTGTTGGGGAATTGGGGAAGGGGACCAGCCATGTTGTTCAATCTTCATTGTGGAGGGCACCAGTCACCATCTGGCTTCCCGTCGGCAGCTTGTGACCTCTAAGCTCAAGGTGCCAAGTTCAGTCTTAGCCATGGGTGGGCGTAGCCACCATCCCAAGAGGGAGTTGAACCAGCAGCCTTATTGTTAAGGGAACATACCCTATCGACTGAGACATCCGGGAGGGCGGCTGCTCAGCTCAAGATGCCAAGTTGTCTTAGTTGGTTGCAGGTGGGCGTAGCCCACCATCGAACAGGCAATCTTGTTGTTACACCAGCTGAGCCATTCTGCCACCTGTTGGCAGCTCAGCGACAGCTCAGCTCAGGCACAGCGTCACTGGCCCATGTGGGAATCGAACCAGTGGCCCTGTTGCTCAGAGCGCGCACTCTTAAGCCAACTCTTAACCAACTGAGCCACGACAGCCCGTTTCTGATCTTTTTAAAAGCAGTTGATAATGTTAAAAAGCCCTAAACATATCACATGCCAAAGACTAATCTACTTTATTGTATATTACCAAACTTCTGGAGAACATCATCAAAGATTTTTATCACACGGATATTCTAGTTGTAAATAAGGTTGCTATAAGAATTTTTAAATAAAAAGTTGATATTAACTGGGACCTTTTCCCAAATCCTGTGATTATCAGGGCCTGAGGAGATTTGGATACTTATCAAAAACTTGCAAGACTTTATCTAAAATACTTACATTTCTCCTGAGGCAACTAAAACTTCTGATCTGGCAGTGAAGCCAAGAAATGTTTCCTCAGGGGGTAGTATTGCTAATGATTACAAACTCAGTAAAATCATATTCAGCACTGTTAAACCTCAGTGGTCCATGTTCTGTGTGGAAGAGGGCACACACCTTTGAACAAGCCCAGTCTTAGCTAGAAACATATTAGATATCCAATATGATAGGGTCAGAACTGCATTTGGGATTCTGCCTGGGGGCAAAAAATAGCATGCTCTCCTTCAGGATTTGTATAAACTTGATGACGCAAAGTATCAATGTCTTCTTTGGCCTACTCCTATGCCAGATATGCCAAACAAGCACTCTATGGACTGCAGGCAGCTCTGGCCTTCTTCTAGGAACCAAAAGAGAAACTCTAGGCCAGCATAAAAAGAGCACTGACTCTGAACAAGCAAGGTTTTAAAGTAACATAGTCACTTATATTTTACTCTCCCCCTAAGAAGGCGCGTCGCTCAAGCCCAAGTCTCTGTCCTCAAAGCACTAAGTATTGTTTATTGCCTTTTGACAGCCATCCCCTCAAGCATCAATTCTATGCCCATCATTCCCAAATTAATACTTCTAGTCCTCAATCCTCTGTCTGTCTCACATATTCTATTTCCATCTACCAGCTGAGTGCCTCTACTCGGATGTCCCATCCATGTCACCAACTAGGTGTGGTTAAGAAAGTGGGCTCTGGAGGCAGACAGGCCTATATTTGAATCACAGCTCTGGCGTGTTTAGCTGTGTAACCTTGAGCACGTTTTTTTAACCATCAGCCTCAGGTTTTTCATCTGTAAAATGGAGATAATGATAATATCTGTATTGCTTTGTTTCTCAAGCTGAGAAGTAGGTATCTCTATATACACGAGTATGAATGTTTATTATATTACTCCCTATATTTTTGTGTATGCCTGAAGTCATTCAAAATAAAAAACAGAACTGATAGTAAAAATGGGGGATAATTAAACCTTCTCAGGGTGGATGTGGCAATTCAGTCAGATCAAGCATTTAACATGTTTTATGACAGATGTTTATTGAGTAATCACCTTGTGCCAAGCGCTGGGCATAAATGTGTGAACCAAAGCAATCACAGTTCCTGCCCTCAGAGTGCTTCAGTCTAACAATATCAGGGCTATTATTATTATTACCTTCCACCTAATACCAAATCCTCCTCTTGATTTCATTACTTCTTTACTTGTTTTTTTTTTGCTCTCAATCACTCAAGCTCAAAGCCTTGGAGTTTTGTCCCTTACTCCTCCACTGGTCCTTCCCCTTCCTTCTTCACTCTCATTACTCTAGTTCAGCTACTCAGTGCTTCTTCTTGAATGGAATATTGGCCTTTGCTGCCAGATTCATCTTCATAAAAAGCTACTCTAGTCACATAACTCTCCAGCTTAAAAACCTTCAAGTGGTTTACAATTGCCTTCAGAATGAAGTACCATTTCCTTATTCTGCCCTTCAAGGTCCAGCCACTTCCTACTATTCTCTTTTACAAATTCAGGAAAGCGAGTCACTGACACTTACTAGGCACTTAAAAGATATATTTTGAATGTATCAATTAGCCAACCAATCACTTTCTATATCCTGCATTTGCTTATCTCTATGTCTTTGCTCACACTGTTCCCATCTATCAAGTCCTTTGAGGTTCATTTCAAAATTCACTCACACATTCCCTCCAGATGGAATTCTTCCAAAATAACTCTTGTCTGTTCATTCCAATAAGCAGAGATCATCACAGAGAGTTTATTTTCATCTGGAAGTGTAATTTTATGCGTCTGTCACAACTTGTCCATGGGGGCCTCGATCAGCCTACTTTTCTAAGAATACCATGCTGGGCTACTACGCTGACAACATCATGCTGATTACATCAGATGAGCAGAGAGTAGCAGATGCCCAAGGTGCCCAAGAAAGGCACACTTGTGTCCCAGGGTGGGAGATGCATTCTGGGAAACTTCAGGGTCCTGCCATCTCAGTGAAGTTTCTAGGGATCTGCGGTAGCCTGGGACTACCAGGAATAGCTTCTCTATCATGAAAGACAAGTTGCTTCACTTTACACCCCTACCACTTTGTGCTCTAACCTATTACTGAACTAGCTAGCCATATGGGCTACTAGCTCTGAGTGGGGCCTCGAGCAAGAAAAAGCTCTATCTGGTTTGAGTTGTAGTGGAAACAGATCAGCTGCATGGCCTTTTGACCCCAGCAGATCCAAATATGCTCAGATGTCTTCAGCAAATAGGGATGTAGTGTGGAGCCTCTGGCAAGCTGCAATTGAAGAAGCACAAGTCATTACTGGCATGGCCCACTACTAGCCAACCAGTTCCTTGGTAATAATTTTTAATTTTTTTAATTTTTTAATTTATTTTTAGCTGAG